CTTCTGTAGGGTTATTTCAAAAGTCACCAAAAATAACAGCTCTTCTGCTATCACCAGGGACACTGCATTTTGTGTGGGATTAAATCTCTAATCTTAATCGAAAAGTGTTGACACATTTCATAATGAAGTGTGACCTGTCCTTCCTCAATTCTAGCACCACCACCATCTCACTTCTTGCTGCCTTGCACACCCCACATATCACACTCTATGACTGAACTTAAGAGAACACATTCTGGCCAGACAAGGTGGCTCACGCCTGTAATCCTAGCACTTTGGAAGGCTGACGTGGGCAGATTGACTGAGCTCAGGAATTCAAGACCATCCTAGGCAACATGGTGAAACTCAGTCTCTATTAAAATACCAAAAATTAACGTGGCATGGTGGTTTCCCTGTAGTCGCTGCTACTCAGAAGGCTGAGTAGGAGAATTGCCTGAACCTGGGAGGTGGAGGTTGCAGGGAGCCGAGACTGCACCACTGCACTCCAGCCTGGGTGACAGAGAGAGACTCTGTCTCCATTAAAAAAACAAACAAACAAAAATGAGAGCACATTCTTACATGCCCATCCCTTTTCTGTGCTGTTTTCTTTTTTGCACATTATATTTCCTTGTCCAAATTTCACTTTTTGTTAGTTCAACTGGTAATATTGTATTAATTTTTTCAGTCTGAAGTTAAACACACCACATAGCCTTCACTTACATCTCCAGCAGAATTAGGTGCTCCTTCCTGTGAAGTGTGAAAAGCAATTTCATTTCAGTTCAGTGTGTTATCAAGGAAACACTATCACATTCAGATTCTTCCATTGTGCTTGTATCGTTTTATTCCTATGAATAATTTTGCTAAAATTCCTTCAATCCTAGGTCATCCAAAAACCAGAGCTTTTATAACTCACGGTGGAGCCAATGGCATCTACGAGGCGATCTACCATGGGGTCCCTATGGTGGGCGTTCCATTGTTTGCCGATCAACCTGATAACATTGCACACATGAAGGCCAAAGGAGCAGCTGTTAGATTGGACTTCGACACAATGTCGAGTACAGACTTACTCAATGCACTGAAGACAGTAATAAATGATCCTTTGTGAGTATAACTTTTTTTTTTTACTCAGTGGTATTTTTAGATCGGTTCTCTTGTCAATAGTGAGTATGACTTTTATCCTTTATATAAGAGACTGATTTTGAAAGAATTTAAATGATTTAAACAATCTGCAATCTGCTTATATGGTTGAGTAGTTATTTAAAAATTTTATTTGAACCACGTACATTTAATGAATAACCAATTATTGAAATAATTTTCTATACAAAACTAATTTTAAAGTGATATAGATACAAAGACATATTAAAATAAATGTGACATAATCAATCCACAGTAGAAAGGATAAACTTGAAGTCATATAATAAAATATTTTAATTCAATATCTAAAATGTCTCAAAGTATATCTGTTTTCTCACTGAAAAATTTATTTTTATTATCATTATTGTAACAGACTTGATAATTAAATTTAATTTCCACAGCAGAAAACCCAACTACTTAAACTATAAAATCCAGATGTATTTAGTGTGCTTGCCGTCATGAAGCCGTCACCATTATATCATTTTAGAACATTTTTATCAACATAAAAGAAACCATATGGTATAGAAGTCACTTCCCATGACCCCTTAGCCCTAGGCTAACACCAATTTTCTTATCTTCTCTATAGATTATTCTCTCTACATATTTCATATAAATTGAATCAGGCAACTTATTATGTTGTGAAAATGACTTCTTTCACCAAGTACAATTTTTGTTGTTTTTATTGTTTTTAGCTTTATTTATGTTGTGTGTATTAACATTTCATTTCTTCTTACAGCAAAGTCTTTTATAATATGGGTATTTCATATTTTATTTGTCTCTATCATGATCTGAGAGATAGGTAAATTGGTATCTTCACTTCAAAATAATGTTTAAGATGATCTTACATTTTTGAGCTGTTTCACTTAGTGTGTGTACATTTATTTTATGTATTTTATACTTAAATTTGTATTTTAGAAGACATATGATGTATTTTAAGATTCAAAGTGTCAAATAATATCAAAATAAGCACACAAAATACAGGAAATCCTAGGGGTTCTATCACAGAGTGGCCAGGGAAAGCCTCTCTTATTGGTAGCATTTAAGGGTTGCCTCAAAAAGAGATAGAAGAATGCCTTGGGTTGTTGCAAGAAAGAGTACTCCAGGCGTGGGTAGAGGGACACAATGTGTAAG